GGAGAACAATCTCAAAAAGATGAAGACCTGGTTAGCATGGTGATTGAGGACCATTTAGCACTGTGGAGGACAAAGGATTTAAAAGATTTGTTAAATCATTAAATCCTAGCTATGTTCTCCCCACTAAAAAGGCCATAAAAGCAGTGAAAATTTAGTTTTTACAGAGTAAAATATGGGCAGGACTGAGCCTTGGTGTGTAGCTGTCCATACCTCAACGTTACAAAATTACAACCACTGTCCACACCCCAACCACACCTCACCTCACAGTAAATAACCAACCACACCTCACCTCACAGTAAATAATCATTTTCCATGCTGCCAGTATAAATATATACAGTATACTGCCATCACTACAATATACATGTTTTACACACTCCTTTTGTTGTTGACATGTACAGGCTGTGTGCAAAAGGCCACACTCTTCAAATTCATGCCAACTAATATTTTTACGTCCAGTAGATGCCCTGCTAGAGCAAATGAAGCTTCAAGAAGCTTTGCGCTGGGGTGAACCAATTGGATGAAAAGCTTCAGTGCTTCATGAAGATTCATCTGCCCATCACTACCTTTCAGTATGGGCCCATGTCCTCATTATAGGTTTGGCAGCGTTTGTGGTATTATGAAGAGATTAAGTAACAATTTTTATAAACTGTAGACACTTTCCATCATTCTTTTTCCATTCTTAACATCTCTACTGAGAAATTCTGTGACCACAAAAAACGTGGGGGTGTTTCTGAGAAAAGGAAGATGGACAACATCAAAGATGTTGAAGATCTTGTTGAACTGCAGAGGTGTCAGTCTGCCACAGAGACCACAGAGAATTTAAAAAAAAAAAAAAACTGAACACTTCTCTTAGCAAAACTAGGGCACACCACAGTGAGTCTCACCAGCTTCAAACTAGAGGTAACACAAATAAACAAGAAGTTTTATGTGTAGAACTTTGAAGTAGTCAGAATGATTAATTATTTTAGATGACATTTGGTCTGTTCATTCATAGCAAAAACAAATTAATCTTACTGATAGCCGGATTATGATGGTAATTTTTCTTTTGCGACAACTCATGAGAATTTCAAAGCTGTTCTTTAACACTCCGACACTGGTCTCTCAATCTCCCGTTGGAGAACCGCGAGCTTCCCGATGATGGTATCAAACTTGCTGGTGTTTTCATTCTTTTGCCCAAACAGTCGATTCTGAGAACTCACAACTTCGGTGAGCTTTTCTGCGATGCAATCCAACTTTTGCTCAAGTGTGTTATTTTGAGCAGGCCTCTCCTTGATGTATCCCAATATACGTTCAGAGGTGTTATACTGAGTATTTACGGCAGCTGTAAGCGTCTCCAAGGTCTTAACCATTCTGCTTTCAAGCCCGTTCTGAGAAGTCGCACCTCGTCCCATCGTTCCGCTGTCTTAATTCTCCGATAAGCCAGGGCCAAGCCAGCTCCGATCAGCAAGAACCCTGTTATCATGGTTCCGAATAGGTAGATATCTTCAGCGTCCTCGATCAACAGTCCTGCCAGGCACACAACCCTCCATTTCTGCCACCCGTCCATCGTGTATCCGGCAGGGAAAGTCCCTCCAGGGCACTCGGGCTCTCCCGAGCCCAAACTTCTCGTTGAGAAAAGGATGTCAATAGCATTCAGAGATCAGTTGATCAAATCCATAATTCTCTTTAGGTTATAGAAACAGACTGTGAGAGAGTGTTCCAGGGAAAGTAATACAAAAAAAAAACACGAGACTAGACAAGGACATAAGCAGGGAAGATAAGGGAGAGGAGAAAAAGTGTGTCCGCCTCCTCCGAGAGCCAAAGAGAAAGTAATGCTGTGTTTGAAGTTTAGATGGTAGTGGACAAAATGCTAACACTGAAGCTTCATAAGCAAAACAATAGTATAAAACACAATATACCAGGTTGATGTAGCTACTGAAAAGACACCTGCTGGTTTGTAAAGACCACATTTAAAGCCAGTTTTAGCGTTTCTGTTGTCACCATTGTCGGATTATAATATTATTTTATGCCATGTTAGACCCCTATTTAAAGATTGTGAATTATTATGTAGTTTTAGTTTGCATTATTGTCCTGAATTAGAAGAAGGTGATAACTATTACATTGGTTAAACTGATCTGCATTGCATTAGACTGTTGATTTATTGTGAATGAATGATATT